ATGATTTCGAGTCTATTACTTATGTGCCTTTAAACATGCCTATTGTAACATAAGAGAAAAATAATTTCTAATATCTTCTAAGTGCAATATATTTGATATACCAGGTTTATTCAAAACAAATTTTTTGTTTTTGTTTTTACATATGCAAACATTTTTCAATTCTCATTAATAGAATTACAAAAAGTAGGCTCACATAATTGACCAGTTATTAGATAATTTATAATGTCATTATAAATTGATGTTGATAAGAGGAAGTTCTCTTCTTCAACACAACCAACAAAATAAAGAAGAGAAAAAATTATGCATGTACGTCAAACTAGGAAAGCAATAAAGCCGAAAGGGACCATCTTTAAAGATGTGGCAATCCTCCAAAAACATAACGCGTTTACAGCTTGCTCTCATGCTGCTGCCAATGCCATCTGTTTTAGGAGGTCAACATTATCGGTTCCAACTTTGTTCGAGTTTCCAATTATATTTATTCGTTCTAATATTTAGGAAAAAGGAGATACTTTTTTAATACATATTATACTAGTTTATTTTTTTTCTTTTATTAGTTAATTTTCTTCTTTTAATAATAATAAAATATGCTGATTAATTAAGTTTCTAACCATTTGGATGAAAAAAAAATATAAAAGAGTAAGTGATAAAAAAAAAACGGTTAGTGAAACAAAATCATAAAGGATTTTTTAATTTTCCTCCAAATTATAATACACGCACTCATTTTCTTGCATTTACAATCGTTTTCTTAATAATTTCTTCATTTCTGATTATGAAGATGATGAAAGCGGAATTTAAGGTATGTGGTCAATTTGTCGCCCACCATATGATGCTATTAGCATTCTACGCGTACAGTGTCAACTATCAACAATAAGAACCACTGGGGCAATGAAGTCATCTCTCATGTGCATTTAAAGCAATGAATTTAGGATTTTTGTGGCCTTTTGTCCCTTTCGTGCCCATTTATGGCAACTATAAATCGGATACATAATTCCAAATTTAGTATAAAATCATGGTACTGGAATTACTCTTTCATTTGTAGTTGTGTCCAATCATGGAAGTGGTTGTATGTAAGCTCGAGGTAACTCAAATAATGTTATTAATTAGGAGTGTAATAGCTTTTGATTAAAATGGTACTATGCTACTTAACGGGAATAACTGAGTTGGTATTGGGGAGAGAATTTGATTTCGATTCTCATCAAATATATTTTTGAAAGGGCAAAAAACTTTAACTCTAACTAAACTCTGACTTAGAATTAGTTTTATAATCGGTCCAAAAAGTCCAAGCTTGTGGAGATATTGGGAGCTACTTGTCTAAGAGAGATAATTAAGGATGACATACTAAATAAAAGGGTATTATGTTCCACAGGTAACGGAAATTAATTCTATCATATTAAAATTTTACATGAGATGATTATATGAAATTTTTGTGTCTATCTCTTTCTTTATTAATATTGAAAAATTATAAGTGAACCCCACTCATTTAACGCATGTGAAAAAAAATATAGACACAAATATCACATTATACAATAATGGATATATACTTGAAATTCCTTTGTACTGTAATATTAATAAATGACTTCCTGACAATGAAATAGAAAGCTAGCCAGAACTAACAGGGAAAGCTTGTACAAATAATTATAAACAGAACAAAACAGCAAAATTCTTTGAGAAGTTGTTTGCCAATTTTAATGCTGAATTATCTTATGATTTTCTTATTTACATCAATCTTGGACAGTAATCAAATAATTCCTTCTTGTTGCTCTTGAATCAAATTCTTATCGGACAATATATGATTTCTCTCTCAACTGTATCCATTTATTGTTGGAAGAGGGACAGCACTGCACCATTTTAATTGAACTTGTAGCTGTGATCCAGAATGTTTTGGATATCCTTATCCTTATGCAATCTAATGTAGAATGTAAGTAATTCCACATAAGCAGAATTCAGAAACAACAAACCTACATGGCAAAGCTATAAACTTTTGTAATGTCAAAGAACAGCATCAAGTGCAGTGGCGGACTCACACTACTGACTAGTGCCTATGTTTGTATACGTAGACACAAAACTTTGAGAATTTTTTTTTAAAGGGGTGGGTGATTCAGGTAAGTAAAAAAAAAAAAAAAAAAGATTTAGGAAGATTGAAAAAAAAAATATAAATGTAGGCCCAATCATGGTAGTTAAAATTGGAGTCTTACCTAAAATTAGAAAGAGGATAAAAAGTCATAAAATCGTAAAAGTGTTTGGAATTTTAATAAAATCGTTTTGATTAAAAAAAATCGTAAAATCATAAAATCACAAATTTAAATCGGGATTTTAACTAACATAGGCTCAACCCAACCAATCCCTATAATTAAAAGCTTAAAGCTTAAACCCTACCTCATTGCTTTGTCTCTTCTTCTTTTTTTGAAACATAAACCTTATTAGCTCTAAACCTTAATAGACATCGATGATTCCTGAAATTCAATCTTCATCAAGTGGAGGAGAATCGTATGGAATTTTTCACGTTTTTTTTTAAACAAAAGTGGCCAACTTTATATCAAATAGACATCAACAGAGATGGATTTTTTATCATTATTTTTTGTATGTTAAGTTAAAGTTTTCTTTTATTGTTTATATATTTTTTAATACATTTAAAAAAATTAAAAAAAAAATTATTTGGGGGCGCTGCCCCCGATACCCCGCCCTAAATGTACAAACATAAAACACAAATTTCTAGATACGCCAATGATCAAGTGTCAATCAATTTTGTCAGTCAAGGTCTGTAATGTTTTTATTTGTTATTAGTACCTTGATTCCTTTATATTTTGAAAACAAGGCAAAGATTGCTAACACTTGATACAGTTCTTTGCAATTAAAAATGTTTATAGCTTGCCATGGAATATCTGTTTTGGTAGGATTTCTTGCTGGTGCTGAAATTTTCCATAGGAAGCGGAAGAGCAACTCATGGTATTCCCCCTTTAATCGCACTTTCATTTTGCCCTTGATTCATAACAACTTATAGATATGATCCCAACTTTTTAAAATTATTTTTTAAGTATATTATGCAGGCCATATAATGTTTGAAATTAGATATTGCTTTTAGCCTTTAGGCATGCATTTGTTGTCTAACTCCCATTCATTGCATGCGCCATGCAGCAATGTTCCCAAGAAAATGAGGTCCCATATCCATTATTTTTTTATTTTTGGCAAATTATACAGATCTAGTTGAAGATTAGAAAGAAAGAATAAATGATAAATTAAAAATGCTATCCAACTAAAGCTTTAAAAGCACATGCTATCCAACTAAGCAAAAGTAAAACAAAATAAATGATATGTAAGCTCAGCAAGATGCATTCTGACTCTAATTCAGAGGTGAAAACTCAAATCATACCTTACTATTGAGTCGCTTAATAATGTTGCTTAGCGATGTTCGCGATTTAGATTTTGAAAGTAAAAATTATCTGTTCTAATACTTTCGGTTTAATTATGTAATTATCCATTTGGTTTGAATTTTTTTTCAAATCCGATCCGATCCGATCCAATCCAATTTTATTCAGTTTGGATTGGATCAGTTTTCAATTTTTTGAAAAGCCTAAGATTTGTGTGATGATTATTGTGCAAATAACATATCTTTTGTATATATCGCCTTTGTAAAGTTTGTATGATGATTATTATGCAATCTAGAAGCATTGTACAATAAAAAATTAAATTATCATGTTTTACTTCCAACAAAAAATTTATAATATGGTTGCCTTGATATATGAAGTAATCCAAATTTTCATCTATACAGAAGCTGCTGTACAACAATAACCTATATAATAAAAATATAGGGTTCGTTTTTTCTGCAGTTAACGCAGATAAGTTATCTGCATTGAGCCGAAAACGACGTCATTTTGGGGCGAAAATTAAGGTGTTTTTATAATTTTAATTTATTTCAGGATTATAATAGTCTTTATAATTATAATTTTTTAATATTTCAACACCAAAACGACGTCATTTTGGGAGTAAATGAAGATAACTTATCTGCACTAACTGCAGAAATATTTTTCTGAAAAATATATTATGTAACTTACCAAAAATAAAAGCATAACATAGATCAAACACAATTCACTTTCTCCAGCATGATGGGTTCATGGGTCTTGGACTTAGATTTTTGCTATATGATTTTTGGGCTATGATTAGGGAAAGGTCCAAGTAGGTAGATGGTAACGTTGGTGAATCATTGGATCAGTTTGGATTTGATCGATTTTCACTAACCCATCCAAAAACCGATCCAATATAATTAAATTTTGCAGTTTTTTTCGGTTTTCGGTTAATTCGATTTTCGATTTTTCGGTTATCGCGGTTTGAATTGATTTGGATCGGTTGATTAACACCACTAGTATTAGTATATTAAATCTACCATATAAAGTACCAGAATAAAAAATGAAAACATAGGATTCAAGTTATGTACTTTCAAACTAATAAAGAAAATTTTATTGTACCAAAAAGAAAGAAGAATATTTTACTGTACAGCCATAAGACTCCCAACGCTTTATGGTACTAAATATTGGACAATTAAATGCTAACAAAAGCATAAGCTAAAAAAGAACTTCGATCTAAATAGCCTTTCAAGACTTGTTTTGTGGCAAAACCCAATAACGCAATTTGATCCGTGTACCCAACCCCACCTAATAGGGAAAGACTTCTATTTTGTATCACCAAGATCCAACTTCATAGAATTTGATGGTCCAGATTGTTATGTTAGATCTTAGATGGTATAACCCTATGATACGAATTTCACATCTATATCATAGGAGGGGGTAAGCAAAGTATTTACATATCTATCCACATAGAAACACACAAGAATTTCCACCATAATGAACATCATCTGTTTGTTATTGCTCAAAATGGTCTCCTTGCAGCAGTTTCAAGTAATTTCATTTCTTCATGAATGCATTAGATATTTCCAACACAATAACCAATCCAGTTGTTCATCTAAAAAGAGTTTTTTCATAATTCCTTGCTATATGATTTAGTAACTATGAAGCTATCAATGACAGCAATTGTCGTTCAACTTCATCCCAGTTCTTAACTTTGTTCACTAGAGGATGCTTATCAGCAGTCTCAGTCTTGCACCAAGGATATGAGTTTTCATAATCAAAAAGTAGGACTCTAATTCCGGCTTCAGCACACTCTATGGCGTATCTCGGGTTATCATCAATAAGAACCTTAGCATTTAAAGACCTGACAATGACAGCACACAAGGAATCTATCAACAACAAATCATAGGAGACAGTAAGTTTCCAGCTTCAAAAGGAAAAAAAAAAAGGATTTGGATTTTCTTATTCAGAGCACAGTTCAAAATGTTAATAAGAAAGCAACAAGTTTTAGGCAAAAAAATAGAAACGAAGTTGAACAGGATCAAGTGGCATACCTACAAATCTCTGACTTTGGTCTTGAAACCCCATCAAGAGCAAAGTGGTTTCCAAAATGAATCTCCTGAAACAATCCTGAATAATTATTCTCTATCCACTCAATTGTGTGATCCTTGATTACATGCTGCCGAGATCTGATCATAAACATATACAAATAGCTGTTAGTTGTGGCTGACCAGATTCTGCTACAGCTTGAAGTAAAATCAATATCAATAGCATACGTTACAACTGATAGGTTACAAAATCTTGATAACTTCCGAAGGGCCGTCTGAGAACCAGGGATAGGGTGGATCCCTGACATGAAGTATGGTGTCTTAAAAAACTCATGAACCCGGAAATTAGCTGCACAACAAGAAGGTATTTATTTTCAACCAGCAAACTTATTATCATGAAGCATAAATGAATTTCATCAAGCATAAAATCCTCTTCATAGAAAAGACTTCATTATTGACCTGTTTGACCATTTTCACCAGCCCAATAGTATACATTCAACTAAACAAATATGTATGCTAGAATTCATTTCCATAAATTGTAACATGAATATAACTCATGGATCTTTGGCTGGTTTTTTTCTTTTTCCCTTTTTCTTTTCCTGTACTAGGGTTGCTCCCTATTGGCATTGCATATTCTGGAAATACACAGCAACATTGAAGAACGATTTAGGTTGAATAGTTCAAGAAATACACAAATAAAAGAACCAACTTCAAAATACTTGCTAAAAGTCAGGCTTGCCTCATGATAATATGTCAATCAAGTAACCAAAACTATTATAATTTGACACATTTTTTTGCCCATAAATGGACTCATTTAAGATTTAAAAATTTGATTTGTAGGAGATTTGATCGCATCATGAGAATTCTTATGAAAGATGCCCAAATTTCAAACACAAGAAACTTCAATCAATGAACCTGGTGAAAATGAAATAAGAAGAAAGAAAAATAATCTGTCTTATTATACAAAAAATTTCATAAAAAATGTAGTAAGACTAATTCACAAAATACAATATGAGTGTGGCCGTCTGATTGATATGCAGTTACCTTCATCACGTGAACAGTTCCATATCTGTAACAGAAATGAAGGTGCATCAGACTTTCACAAACATGCTCAAAATTCAATGCAATACAATGGACTAAATGAGTTGTTAAAAGTACGGATTATCTTTTAATCAGTGAAAATTTCATTGTTAGCACCAAGGGGGCAGAAGCCAAATACACCTCATGCATATAGTAAGTTGCAGCTCAAGGCAAGATAATGTCAAAATACTCAGAAAGAAGAGAAACACCAAGAAAACCATCAAAGAACTGAATTAAGAGTTAACAGAAAGATATACACAAAATTTGGCTCCCTAAATAATAATATTCAGGTAAAATATGGATGAACATCTCTGTCCCTGGATCTTGTATGTGGCAGTGGCACCATTAACCGTAAAACAGTATAACAAATAAGAAACTTTAATACAAATAAAGCACTTAATGGCACAATTTAACTGATGATGCTCCGTCACCTTTTGCAGAGGGTTCCCCACTCGTAATATGCGGGCAAGAACAAAGAAGAACAAGTAACATACTGCAAATTCCAACACCCCAAGCCAACATAGCTTTAAACTTAAATGTATAAATTTATCAATGGTAGATTAACTTAAAATTACATTATGGAAGATTAATACCAAAGAAAATTAAATCATCTCAAATAAGCCTAATTTCATAAAGGATATGTTTTCCATACAACGGTTTTGCCAATAATTCCTAATACTGCATCCTTTATTTTTGGTGAAATCGAAGGCTACATTCTTTTACAGAAGATTGGGGAATAAGGGGCAAAATGTGCCTCCCAAAAAACATCCGAGTTGTTCTATTGTTAATACTTAAATACAAAATTTGCAAATTCCTAATTTCCAATTACTTATCATGAAAATATAGACATGATACCTTGAAGAACTCGTACACGTGATACTCAGAAACTGAATAATTCGACGAGTATCGATCTTCTATGAACTTGTTCAGAGCCGACACGAAGTTTCCTAATACTGCTTACAGAAAAAAACAGATGAAAAAAATATACATTAGAGGAAAAACAAAAGTGGATAACCCACCTAGAATTAAGTTCACGTTCCAAGAGTTAGTTGCATTGAACGTTATAAGTTCCAATTTACCAAAAGAATTGCAAAAATGCTTCAACTCCCACATTCACCATGTATGTACATTTAACTAAATTGGAGAGTAATCTGACTGTTTCATGCACCCAAGGAGGGGACTTTTTACTTTCGTTAGTTTCTTAATCCATAAATGTATTTTAAAAACACAATAAAGAATAAAAACAAAGGAAATGCAATATAGATAATGATTTCTGAAACTGGAACATGATCACGGTTCTGCAAGAGTACTTCATAGAAAATTATATGACAAAATAGCTAAACTAAGAAGATGCTGCGTAAGATAAAAGGACTGGCATATACATACATAAATACATACCTTCATCAACGTCAACAGCTACAACAAGTTTCTGGGGAAATTGGTCATCAGGGAAACAAAAAGGTTTAGAGGGACTTCCACCTGGGGATCTATTATCTACATTGATAAGAGTGGGATAATGGCCATCATCTCTTACAGAAATACCCTTCTCTAAATCAGCTAACAATGGTGAGCGAGGAAGACATGCAAAACCATTGGGCTTTGTCTTTTCCTTCAGAAAGTCCTTTTTAGCATTACCACTAGCACTGGTATCAAAGCAGCCTTTAAGAGAAAACCGAATGCTTCTGTTAACCTCAGAAGAAGAAGAAAGAGAAGGGTACTGTGAAAAGGCCCTGCTGAAATGGGAACTAGGATCATAGCCTAACAAATGAGCCATGAGAAGAAGATGATGGTAGCTTGGTGATGCAGAAATTGCTGAAACAAGATGCTCACAGGGCCTTGGTTGTTCCTTAATTTAAACATAATAACACTAGAATCTTACTCTTGACATTCATCACCGCACCACCATAAAGAAACAAAAAAATAAAATTGTAACAGATAAATTTGTAAAAAAAAAAAAAAAATTAAAAAGCAATGACCTTTCCACTTGTCAATCAATCCTAGTCCTAGAACCAGTTGGGTAGAACAATTAAATCTCCCATCAAGGATCAAACTTTCATCAGACACTCATACAGCGACAGAAGGGTCTCTTCCAAAAACAACCTTAACCCACAGAAACTCAAATGGGGATGTTTGCTTATAGTAATGACTCAGAAAATAAAAATCCAAAATTGGTACTCTTTAGGTCCTCCAAACAAACACCCAGAAGAGAAAAGTTAATCTTTCAACAAGGAGTTAACGGAAAACCTGAGAAAAAAATGGTTCAGCTTGAGAATTTCTTGAAGATGCTCTAAGCTCAAAACAAGATATACATTAAATTAAAACAAAAGAGAATGAAGAAACTTCTCAGATCTTCCTACTCATAATATCCTCAGACATAGAATCACGGCGGCACATAAATATAGACATAGGTTGTTGGTAATATTAGGAATTAATAATGTAATCTAAGATCTTGTTGGTTAATGCGCAAATTCGGGCTTGAATTTCGATTTTCCTTTGGTCTTCAGCTTTGGACTACTCACTTACAAAATTTTCTTTTCCTTCTTTCTTCTGTTTAAAAAAGTTTACAGAATTACGATGGTATCCTCATTTCTCATTTTACTTTTGTCTATTTTTTATTTTAGGTTCATTACTACATTAACCTCTGGTGCAGATTATATATTAACATAACATCTGCCGTTAAAAGTGCAGAGTGGTCGACAAAAAAGATATTGAATGATGTGTGTCGGTGGCTGCTCGATGCACGTCAGAAAGTGTTTTTTCGGTGTGTGTTTTATTATTGGGTAGCTCCAGTGGTATCAATATAGGGTTCTTTCACCCATTAGAAATTTTTATTCCTTTAATTTACCAATTTGATATTTGGTTCAAAGTATTTACGAATAGAGGTCATTTAGTGACGTGAGGGGAACCAGCATCCCTGAGTGCCGCTACCAACCACCCGTGTCACTTCACTTTTTTATTTTTATTTTTATTTTTTTCTATTGATTTTTCTATTGAGTGTTGTCCCCCTCCCCTAGGGCACTCACAGAATTGTGCCAACTGGCACAATCTGGTTACTCATATTACCTTAAAACTTCAGAAAGCCATAACTTTTGACTCGGGTATTCAAATCAGATGATTTTATTTTGATTTCAAATAACTTTTTGAGATCTACCCAATGACACCTCATTTGATATATTTTATCTTCCATTAATATAGTTCAAATTTGCAACATTAATTACACTTTTTTACAGATTTGAATTATATTTGTGAGAGATAAAATATATCAAATTAGATGTCATTGGTAGATCTCGAAAAATCATGTGAAATAAAAAAATCATCTGATTTGGATACCCGAGTCAAAAGTTATGTCTTTATGAAGTTTTACGGTAATAGGAGTAATCAGATTGTGCCACTTGGCACAATTATATAAGTGCCCTAGGGGAGGGGGTGGCATTCAATAGAAAAAATAAAAATAAAATAAAAAAGTGTGAGTGACGCGGGAGGATGGTAGCGGCACTCAGTGACGCTGGGTCCCCTTCGCGTCACTAAATGACCACCATTCGTAAATACATTGAACCAAATACCAAATTGATAAATTAAAATCACAAAAAATCCCAATTGGTGAAAGAGCTGTCAATATAGGTTATGACATGGTGATTAATTTGTGCTCTGGTTGACTTGAGAAAAAAAATCATGTTGAGTTCGTGTTGGGAAAAGTGATACAAAAAAATTCGTGTTGGTGTATTTGTATTCGTGTTGACCCATACTTTTCTAATTTTTATTTTATTTTTTCATTATTATTTTCTATTTTATTTTTTAAATTTCATCCTATTTTTTTGTCAATTATTATTTTGACCCCTATTTTGCTTGTTATTTGTGTCGTGTCATGTCGTGTCAACCCACAAAAAATTCATGCCGTGTTCATATTGAAGATTTGTCACAAATAAAAATTCTTATCATGTTCGTATTGATGTATTCGTGTCGTGTCAAATTCGTGTCGTCTGAATCCGTTTTGACACCCCTAGGTTGCTCACTTCTGAAAAAAAAATTGTAGTAATTCATTATAAATATATACTAATTTATTTCATTAACTGATGTAGCAAAGAAAAAAAAATTATCATTATAATTATATATTACTCGTAGAATATAATTATAATGAGTTGTTATAAAAAAGTTTTCTCCGAGAAATAATTTTGCCTTTATTATTTTAATATTTTATTGGACAAACTTTTTTGTGTGTGTATGTTTTACTGGAGAAACTAAAATGATAATATTTGTGCATAAGATCACCTTAAATAAATACAAGAATAACAATTCTTATCATTCAAGAAAAAATTGAGAAATCCATATGTAATTTTTTAACGCATCTAAATAAAAAGCTTTCTTGTACCAAAAAAAAAAAAAGATTTCTAAATTATAAAAATAAAAAAAAACAAACAAATAAAAAAATCTCATTGTGCGAAGAATTTGTGTTCCTTTTTAAATGTATCTTGACATGTACGAAATGAAGTATACGGGCCAACAGCTCAATTTTGAAGAGGATTTATTGTCCAGTATTGAAAAAGCTTTATAGTTAGGTAAAGCATGCAGATCACCACTTAGTCTCACTCAAATAAAGCATGCAGATCACCACTTAGTCTCACTCAAAATAATAAATTCATTTTAAATGTTGATGGATAAGTGTCAAAGACACTATATTTTTAAGAGTAAACACCTTTTTTAGTCCCTGGCAATATCTACGAAGTCCTTTTCAGTCTCTGACAATAAAAAAGGACCAAATTGGTCCCTGAAAGTACAAGAAAAGGGCCACTCTACATATTTGGGAGTTGACATAAGGACTAACATGACCCTTTTTTGTAATTTCAGGGACCAATTTGATCCTTTTTTATTGCCAGGGACTAAAAAGGACTTCGTAGATATTGACAAGGACTAAAAATGGTGTTTACTCTATTTTTAATATCAAATTTAATTTTAAATAATGATTAATATGATTAAGAATATAATGTTAATTAATAAATCTAAAAGATATCAAGATTCCAACAAATAGATAAAATTATGATCCCTTTTAATGAGATGCAATTAGGGCTTTTGAGAGAAATTCTGGGACGCGCAGAGAAAGGCTAGGAGGCGGCCAGAGATGACTTAGGAGGCAGAGAAGCTCCGTTCCGAACCTGAGGAGCGGAGGAACGGTCAAAGTTTTACCGTGGAGACCGGATTTTATGTTTCTTTTATAAATTTTAGTTTCTTTTCATCTTCTAATTCTGTTGTAATGATTATGAAAAGCTAAATTTATTTAAGTAGTTAGGGCGAGACGGAACCAATAAGTTCTTAAACGCTGTTTGCCTTTCTTATTATTTATATTCATGGTTTAAAGTTATGCAATCAATTTGTTCTTTATGATTAGCTTTATTTATGAATTGATCACTTGTAGATAAACATATGAATCGTGCATGATAATAGGGATGTTGGTGTATTTATTTCGATTGGTTGATTGCTATAGTTTGTATAATCTAGTGATAGACTTATGAATTCTATAACTGTATGGTTCTTGTGTTAATGCTTGCTTTATGGAAAAGTACTAACGGATTAGGCTTTTGAGTGAAGTAAATGATCAGATTACCAAGGGATTGAGATCTAATCAAATATAGAAAGAATTGTTAATAACTTGATCTTGAATGTTAATTATAAGAATGGGTAGACTCGTTAGAAAAACATTGAGGAATTGAGTCCTAGCTCCGTCTTTTAGTAAAAATTAAAACCAATTTTCTCGCATTATTAATTCTTGAATTAATTTCTTAAATATTGAAAATAAAAAATAAGTTGTTTAAAAATTCTGTTTTATTTTTACAATTAATTCTCTCAACAAAATCAATTAGGATAGATCCAACTTTAATTGCGTAGAAAAATTAGTGATTGGTAATCAGTACTCGTGGGATCGACAACCTTATTTTACCACTTTATTACTTGTACGACCGGTGCACTTGCCGAAATTCCAATAAATTTTTGGCGCCGTTACCAGGGATTAATTTTTATCAACATTAATTTTATTTATTAAAATTATAGATTGGATCATTTATTATTTATCTTTTATTTTTATAATTTTTTTTCTTTATCGCTCTTATTTCTCATTGATAAACATTTGTGCTTTGTTTTATTTAAGTCTCCTTTTAGTTTATTATATTTTATATTATTTTAAATATTTTTATTAGTTAGTTTTATTATTTTTTCTCTTTTGTTTTTTTATTGTTTTATTTTGCTTATTTTAAATTGTAATTTTTATTTTAAATATTATTTTAATTTTTAGTTTATTTTTTTTCTCTTCTTTTTATTTTCTTATTTTATTTTATTTTATGTTTTTTAATTTTCTGTTAGTTTAGTGGTTTCTGTTAGTTGGATCCACTTAGCCTTAGTTTTTCTGGTTTATGCATCTGCGAGTCACTGTTGACACCAGTGCCTTACAGTACAAATCAAAGTTAGGAAGAGAAAAAAAATTAAATAAATAAAAATTAAAAAAGATATAAAATCAAAAAGATTTGGCTATTTAAGAAATATTGTCAACATCATGGTTGATCAATTCGATATTCCTCCAGATTTGGAGGAAGAATTGCTCAACATTGAAATTGAAAAACTTTTTGGGAGTAAACATGCAAAGGATCCTCAAGATCTAATAAATCAATCTCTGAATTTCTGTAACGACATAAGGATAGAAGGAGCCACTGAAGACTCCAGTAAGATCCATTTGTTCCCTTTCTTTCTGAAAAGTAGAGCTAAGACATGATTGAAGTCTCAACCTCGACGAAGCATCTCTACATGGGAGG